GCATGGCTTCATCAATTCTGATCCAGCAGAACCTTATTGCTTCCACTTGTATCTGGATTATACCTTGACCGAGAAGAGCCTTTAAGGTCATAAAGTCTTGTAACATTACGCTTAAATAGAAGATTCTCCATTACCAAAACATCCATTTTCGATTCCTTCCCTCCTTTGAGGTGCTTCGATGAAACCTTCAAGACAATACCAACAAAAGCATAAACCAAACTACTACCTGATAGCTATGTTTCAAACAATAAGATATGACATGACCTGGCAGTTGTTTGGAATCGAATTTTGGGACCACATATAATTAACAAAAACAGTAAATATTCTCAATTAGTGACACTAAATTATAAACAACAGCACTATAAATAGATAAATAATCATATCAAAAGAGCCATCTAACACTGCACATGGTAAACTTGTAGCATAAATAAGTGAAAAAACTCCAAGCTCCAAGTGTGCTTGGAAAAAAGGAAAAATGGCCACATCACTTTATGACAGAGGGCTTCAGAATAACATGGACCAGTGTTTGAATTGATTATGCAAGTATCAGATTATTAGTGAATGACAAGGTAAGCTCTCCCATGATGGAAAAAAGTAAACATACCTGATAGATACCCAAGATCTTTGCAAGGCAAGTAGGGCTTTTAGTACTAATTGATTCAGACAAATACTTGAAATAAGCTGGACCAAACTTGATAAAAGACTCCAGCTCTGTCTTGGTTACTTGCTTGATGATAAATCGATCATCCAAAGTTTTTGCAAAGAATACATTGCTCTTGCCACCCTGGGCACCCCATTTCTTACAACGACTAAGAGAGCGAATGAAATCTAACTCAGAAGGGCAACAGATCCTCCTTAAGGCCTCAAATCGCTTGGCATAGTAACAAGTAACTGTATACTTTACCTTTCCAAGAGGGCAATCATCAGTAAAAGAAACTCTTGCATGCAAATCTTTTGTATATAACAGTGGGTCTAAAACCTGGGAACCACGGGACCCAGATGTAGATAAGATGGTCTCATCTGACGAGCCAAGACTTCTATATGTATCAGAAGATGCATCATCAAAAGAATTAAGTGAGAGTAGATTCACCGAATCAAGAAGTGATAATGAAGCTGCAGAATCAACAGCATCTTTTGGCTTCTCGGACTCAGACATCTGGACATAATAATCTGATGAGATTAGTGCATAGGCTATAATACTTGTTGGTTCATCATCATAAACAGGCACGATGGTGTCATCAACCCCAACAGGCAGAAGAAGCCGAGCTCCACTTTGCTGTTCCAACTCCCTAAATGATGGAACATAAACCGGATTATACTCACTAATACCCAGCTTTTGAGCACTGAATAAAGAATTTCTGCTGAATGAAGTGGTGAAATTTGAAAAAGGTATAGCCATCCTCGTCGAGTTTTCTGGATCGTCAGGCCCCTTGTTAGATGAAACAGATGTGGAAGAAGAAGCCACCTCAGTTCCACCTTGGTCAATTGTACAATGCTCCAGCTCTAGATTTGCTTTTACAGAATTTACCACACTCGGTGTCTCCAGTGGCATTGAATCAGAAGGAGAGTAGCCATTCTCTCTAGCTGTTAAGTTTGCTGGATGACTTTCACCAGTCCATGCTGCATCAAGAGTATCAGATAAATTAGACAAAACTGGAAATTCACCCTCCGATAGAGCTCTTCTTACAACTTTTCCAGATTCCAGAGTATCAAATTTATCATTGCTATTTGTAGCAGGTGAAAGACCAAGCTCAGCCTCCTTCCTATGATTCAATTCCTGGTCATCCTTTTCGGCAGGAACTTTAATTGATTCATTGACGTCACAAATATTTCTTCCTTGATTAAGGTCTGGATCTGGCCTAGCCTCCTGAAGAAAGGAATCACAACTACTGAAACCTTTACTCGGCTTGGAGTTGATATTTGTATCAACAAGCTTCTCCATGGAACTGACAGATCCTTTAAGCTTTGGGATGGAATTGCTCAAACCTTCCTGGAGCTTTGTGTAAATTAAACCCGCTGCATGTATGAGACGTTGGTCCCAAACATAAGAATGGAAGAGAATCTGCCTCCTCAGTTTATTGATCTCAAGAATATCAATTGAAGGTTGCCTAACCTTCACTTCCCGATTTAAAGTTTGTCGAATAGATTCCTAAGGTATGTCAGTATCAATCAGTAACAAAAATAACCACAGCATAAAACTTCTATTAAGGAAGAGGAGATGCCTTCTGTACTGAGTTCTAACTTATATGATGGGACAACATGGTCACATTCTATGTATCACATATTGGAATAAATGTCTAGGCTATGTTCAGAACAAAACAATAACTTTCATGAAAATTCGTTTTGAATCTAACTTCATTCAACTAGGAGACAACAAAAAAGCCTATTTGAAAACAGATAAAACTTGATTTTAAGTGGAAAATTAATAGAATTTGAAATGCATTGTTTTAGTACCAATTAAATTCTCTAATAGGCCAATTTTTATTATCTTAGATAAGATTTTTGCTCGTCTGCAGTTAAACAACATGTGGATTTCCAAATGAATTCCATAAAATTTGTTCATTTGTTCCAAACATAGACTTCTAACTCTTGCAGTGATTGGCTTCCAATATTCTTTCTTGTCAAAGTGGTTAACCAGTAGTAAATGAATTTCCAACAACTACCTCAAATTCTTCTTTGTCCTTTTCTAGCATGGCTTCCAGTTCTGAAATGTGAAGTCTTAGATCAGCAGCTTTTGTGCCAATGTCCTGTGACCTTGAACCTAATGTTTTTTCTGAAATCTGCTGCAGAGCATTATGTACTTCTGTAAAGAGGACTTTGGCTCTGTCATGGACCTATTAGAAAACACCAATTATAAGCAAAAATAAAATATAAAGCAGCTGACAGGAATGAAATGAGGATATGTAATTGTACCTCAGTTACTTCTTTCTGTATCCATTCCTGATGATCATAGTTGAATTCAAGTTTTGGTGGTGGAAGATAAACTGAATGAACATCAATTGAAGCATATCGAAAGCAAGCAACCATGCTCCCAAAACTGCAGTTATGAAATAGAAGGGGAAAAAAGTACGATTAGATTGTCCTGTGCTGCAATTTAAGACCTTTAGCACTCCACAAACTCAAGCAAAAAAGTGTTAAAAAATATATTGCTTTGTTCTGAAGTGCTCAATCAAGTTGGTACCAGGATGCACACGAACCAGCAAGCGGTATCAACTGGAGTACACAGCAAAGTACTAAATACTAGTAGATATTTAAAAAAAAAAAGGCTTTTGTTAATAATAAATATTTTATAAAAAAAAGATCAAAAAATAACTTTTACTTCTTGATATCAAAAAACATTTTTTCACAAGGCATAAGGGAGTGTAAACCACAAAAAGTTTTTCAGAGGATCATCAACACAGAATTACTACTTAGAAGAGGGTCAGATCTGCAAAAGAAGCTCCTAATCTATAAAATATTTCCATTTTCCCCAAAGTATCCAGCATGTAACCATATATCTAAGATGGCATTGATATTTCCTTTCTATCAAAAGGGAGTTCCTTTCTCCAATGTAGAATGTATATATATTTACATATATAGATATATAAGGAGTAACTTAGTCTTTTCTAATTTTTTTTCTTTTTTGGTTGTTATGACAGCTAGGTATGTCCTCCATCTTAACAACCAATTTTTCCCCTCTTCCACTTGTTAGAATATTTTGTAACCTCTTTTTGTTAAAGCCAGTGCTTATATAATAGCACTACTTGTACCCGAGAAAATTAAGGAAAATAGTGAAAGGAATTCTCTTCTTCACTTTGTTCAAATTTTTCTTCCTAATTTCTTCATGGTATCAGAGCAATCCTTATCCAAAATTGTCATCCAAATCACGCCAAATGGCCACGGATGAGTAGACCTCTTCTCCATCCGAAGTTCTTTCAAGTTCCTACCTTCCCATGCCGGTCAACCACTCACTCATTGATCAAACACCCTCATTCATCACTGGACACAGGCTGAATGGAAGCAACTATCTCCAATGGTCATCATTTGTCTTGATGTTCATCCAAGGAAAGGGCAGAGAAGAATACCTCACTGGAGAACTCGTTTCACCTCCAGCCAATGACCCGGAGCTCGTGCGTGAAAAGTCAAAAATA